TACCAATTGTGTAAGACGAGGTCATGATAGCTAACCTAACCTAGCCTAGGCTAGTGACCTATACATCAATAGCTTCTGCAGGAGCAGAGAACGCCATCCTGGACGGAGGGTACATCTCGGTACCGAGGGGGATTGGTACATATAGGACTAATGTACCCTATCCGACCCCGATGGATACGTGTCGGTATGTAACGTACTGGATGTCATTGATCCCTATGAACAGTACCTCGGGGGAACATGGACTTGTGATCTGACGGATACGTGTCGCGTTTATAGGAAAAGAATTTAGTGACGCCGAAGACACGTGTCTTCATCTTGAAGTACTTGAAAATGTCCCATCAACAATATGTTAGATTTAAATAATTATGAGGTCTAACCTTTCCACAAATTTTGGGACTTTTGAATAGACGATTGAGTTCATAACAATTGGAATCAGAACAGGTACCACGTCACTAGTTCAAGTCACGAAAGAGACAACGTATAAGCTGGAGTAAAATGTTTTAGGATTATGTATGGTTATAGTATTATCGCATTTAATACTGGTAGGTTAGTAGAGCCGCCAAAGTAAAAGGATTGTTGTTGGGCCACTATCAATAGAGTGGGCCACCATGAACATCAATTCTGAGAGGTGAAATATTACGTTCAAATATTAATGAGCTCTAACCCCCACAAGCCCTAACACTTTTGGATCAACAGCAGAATAACTTAATATGCAATAGTTCGTGCAGGTAATATGAAAAAGTAATGCAGAATGATATTTATTGGATCTCAATTATTCTTTGCAATAATATTAATTATTCATTCAAGTCTTTGGATAGCACCACCAGATCTTTAAACATGTTTATACCATAGAAAATGTATCCACGTCCATTTTAGTATACTTTAAAAAAAAACTATTAATGTTTTATAAGGAAATCTCTCACTGTACAATGTCTATTTAGTTATTTTTTCTCAAAAATTACCCAAATATTTTTGTACAAGTTATTTATCATTAAACGATCACACATATCTATATAATAAAGTAGAGTTGAATTTGAATTTTGGAGACAAAGAGACGTCTAAATCGTTTTGAGACTAAACATAAACACATCTAACGGACAATGTAATCCCAATATAAAAAACGGTTCAAATCATCTCGTAAATACTGATCCGACGAGCTACAGTGAGTACTGAATTTTGTTTTTCCGCCCAACAACATTTCCTGACTCACGCCTCTCTCTCTTCTCCAAAATTTCTCAAATTTTCTTCAATTTCACTTATGTCTCTCTCTCCCAATCTCTCACACCTCTATCTCTACCTTCCAAACACATTCCCAAAATCTCTCTCATGGAATCCATCTCAATCTCACTTTTGCCTCTCTCTCGCAATCTCTCCTCCTTCACACCCTTTTCTCTCTTTCTCTCTCTAACGTTGGACATCCACCAACGCCACTCATCGCCACCGCCATTCTCACTCAGGAAATTCTCTATTTGTCTTTCTCTGCCCCTCTACCTCCTCTCCCATTCTTCTATCTCACCGCACCTTAGCCAAGCCTAGCCCCAACGCACAACACGCGCACACATCGCACCACTGCCACTAGTCATTGTCACTGGCAATAAAAGGTTATTTTCTCTCTGTATTCGATTTTTACTCTCTTTGTTTTCTTTATTTCTCTGTTTCTCTCCCTCTCTCTCTCTTTCAACCACAACCCAAAAACCCCCTCCTAAAAACCACAACCTAGAAAACCCCCTCCTGAAACCCCTATTCTTCCCCCGTTCTCTCTGCTTGTGTTAGTCTCTCTTATATCTCTCTCTTCACCAACCAATGCCAAGTTTCACTCCCCAAACAATATAAAAATGAAAAGCTATAACACAGATACCACCCACAGTCGCAAATAGTGCTATCATGTTCCACTATCTCTTTCTCTCCCCTCCATCCCTGAACCCCCTTCCAAAAAATCTCCATCCAAAAATATCACAACACAAAATGCACACACACACCCCACCCCTACTCTATCTGTTATCTATGCATAGTCCACTTATGCACACCACCTATTCGATGAAAATCCCCATTAGCACGTCCTCACCCGACCCCCCGACAGGGTAATCATTCAAGCGTTAACTAATTGAGATTGATTTTTTGCGTTGGATTCTATAGTTTCAAGTTATGTTAGGTGGTGTACAATTCATATAAGTTCCATTGTATAGAATTTATGGGAAGTGAGATCTCTTTTGCCCTGTGTTCTTTTTGGTTGTTTTTTTGCCTTTTAACTAGGATTTCTTTTACATATTTCATTATACCTACTGGGGGGGTTACTTCTAGATTGATTTTTGTGTTTATTAAATGATTTTTTTTAAGGTTTGTTATTTTCATTGAATTATTTGATTATGATGATTTGTGTTATTTGATTTGTTAACAGTTGGGTTTATAGTGGGTATCTATAAAATGGTGCATTTTGTTGTGAACTTGGGATTAACGCTATTAGATTACATGATTGCATCCTGATACAAGAGCTCTAAGTTCAGGTCTTTCGTGTGTTTTCATCATGCCTTCAGGTCTTTTATGGGTTTTTTTTTTATTTTCAAAATAGTGTATGCCTTTTCCCTGTTCAAGTTAAGGTATTATATGTTTATGCACAATCTTGATATTGTAAATAGTTTCTTATTAAAAAAAATCTTGATATTGTAGATGTGATATGATCATTACCCCCCAAGTGAGGTTTTAGTAGAAGACATGGGACTCGCCAAGTCAAAGGAGAAACTGGATGATGGATTGAAGGTTAGAAAAATGAGAAGGAAATTTTATAATTTTTCAAGTGGGATATGGAAGAAGAAAAAAAAATTGTTAAATTATAGGCGTGGCTAGGAAAATATTTTTCTTTGGAAAAGAAGTCGCACAAGTACATTGTTAAGGATTAGTCCGTATGAATTGCTAACTATCAACCTGCAAAAATTGATTTGGTGGAGGAATTACTTTAGTGATTGGATTGCCTATCAAGGAGGATTTCTTTTTTTATTTTTAGTTGGAATTGTTCAGCAACGCATCAAGAGAGGGAATCCTCTCCAGTTATGCAAGGTGGGTTTGACATAAAAAAAAATGGGAGGAGGGATGAGGCAAGCAATACGTATTGATGGTGGAATAGGAAAGCGGTCCAATAAGATTGTTTAATTTCCTTTAAATGCAACTGCTTTTAGCTGTTCATGGAGTATGGTGGCGTGTGTTCTATGGTGGCTATGTGCACCACGGGATCATGTGTATCTTGAGTGTTCGAGGTAAGTTCTCAAAGAGCTATGGACACACTACTGCCTATTTTTGAGCTGTTTTTTTTGCTACAAGTGAGTTGGTTTTGATATTTTATATTGAAATATTTTTGTGATTGATCTTCTAAGATTTACGAAACTCCTTTATTTATTTTTCCCATAGAAATTGGCTCATTTCATTATTTTGTTGGAATTATTACTCTTATTAGTATGACCAATGGATCAATCAGTAGAAGTGTAACATTTTTTGGTTGTTTTGACTTTATATTAATGGGACTAATTTGGTACATTGATTTTGTAATCATGATCTTATTTTTGAGTTTGTGAATTTATTTGTGTTTGTCATTGAGTTGCATTTAAATTTTTTAGTCGCTTTGTGCATATTTCCTCAACAATGGAAGATCTAAGCCTGTAAGTTTTTCTTGTTCATCCTTTTGGTTTTTTCTTTCTTTGATTTTTAAGCATACACCCTCTTGCTGGGCTTTTGATTTTGTTCTGTTGAACTACTATTTTTTTGGAAGGTTTTTGTTTCAATCAGGGTGTTTTCTATTTGTTTTCTAATTTTTCATTCATTGATTGCAAAATTGTTTCATAGACATGCTTAAGGTATTTTATTGAGATTGAACATGAGTATCGCAAAAACAACAAACATTATCCACGCCCAAAATCGAAGGATTTAAGGCTTGGGACACTATTGTTCATACTAAAAACCAATCCAAGTGCATGCAAAAATCTTTGCTCATTGAATTTTGATTAGTTTAATGATTTGAAATAAAAATTTGTCTATTCTTCTGTATCTGATGTAGTGATACTATTACTTTAGATGTCTATATTTGCGTTAGATACTTTTTTTTTGTTTCTAAAGAATTTGTCCAAATATTTGCTGCTTGAAATATTTGCATGTTATTGAAAAATATTTGTATTACATGATTAATGGTCGATTTTGTGCTGCATAATGTCTTCAAATACGAGTTTTGTTCATTTTTTTAAAAAATGGTTATCGCGATTTGATATAATGGCTCGATTTTTAAATTGCACCGTGCTTTTTGTCACGGGTTATTACTAGTTAGACTTATAAAAAGTATCATAATTGAGATACATTGCTCCTATTTAAAGAAATCCTAAATACATTTATTTACTTAAACATTTTTTTTTCTTAATTGCTCCCATTAAAAGAAATCCAGAATTACATCATGAAATCTTTATTGTTGAGAGTATCAAATGAAAATTGTAAAATCTTTGGGGGGAGAAAACTGCTATTTGATGAATAGAATTAGAATATTGAGTTAACTACCTATTTGCCCCTAAACTATACCATTGGTGTCAATCGAACCCCTAAATTATCCTTTGTATCAATGTAGTCCTAAAACTATAACATTTGTGTCGATATAGCTCTTCCATCCAAATTCATCATTAAGTTTGATAGAATTTCTTACGTGCACAACACATAATCCCTAAACTATGTCATAATCCCCGACTCACGTAATGCGCTTTGTGAAGAATTCTGTTAAAATTAACCGTCAATTTGGACGGAAGGTCCACATTGACACAAATGGTATAATTCGTAGGTTAAATTGATACAAAACATAATTTACAAACTTAATTGACACAAATGATAAAGTTTAGACGCCGAAGAGATAATTAAATCTAGAAAATTTTGAACCAGGCTAAAGGTACGGACTTGGAAGGGCTCAGAATTGGGCCCAAAATTGCATCAGTAGGCCCATTTGATATATAATGCCTAGTCCAGGGAGTGTTCTACAGCACCGCTCACTCGATACGTACGGTTTGTATTGAAAACTCTCTGGTTTTGGTAGGGTTTTTCTGCTTTTCTGCGAAGGAAGAAGGAGGGAGACTATCTCTGTTGCAGCCATGGCGAGCACCAAAGTCCAGAGGATCATGACCCAACCCATCGTATGTTCACCGATCCATTTCTCTATCTTTATATACATATCTATCTTTCGAACCCACACAGTAGATTTGTCTGTGCCTGTAGGTTTGGGGTTTTTTCATGTATACTGTACCTTTGATCAGGTTATAAGATGTGACAGTGTTTGCTCAATAGATCTGGGATTTTCATGTCTTATATGGTTTTACGTTTTGTAATTACTTACCAATTTGCGTCGTTTTTGGGTGACGGATGCGTGGTGGTTGCAGAATCTCATCTTCAGGTTTCTTCAAAGTGTAAGATTTTGTTGTCGTTTCCTTAATTTTTCTTTTGATATGATATGTTATCTATTACGTCTTTCCTCGGTGATTCGTTAATTTAAGAATAACTTTGGGTTCGATCTGGAACAGAAAGCTCGCATTCAGATATGGTTATTCGAGCAGAAGGATTTGAGGATTGAAGGACGCATCATTGTATGTCTTCTTATTTTCATATATGGGCGCTACTCTGCTTATTCATCTTTATTGTCTTTTCTGATGCTAGTATTTTCATCGATTTCCTTGATTGGTTCTATACTGCATATTTCTGGGGTAGCATAAATCATTTTTAAGGCTGGGGTAACAATCTAGATAGTGGGATGTCATTTTCTCCCCATATGTTTAAAATGTTGTCTGTGGTTGGATACTCTGTTGCCTCATGTAGGAGTGTCAATTGAGGTTTTAGGATACTGAGCTTCTGATAAACGAGGTCAAAAATTTTGCAATGTCAATACTGAGGGATGCCAAAACACGTTCCACTTTGGTTTACCCTTTTCCCGAATCTTTCAGCATTCTGCCGATTGTGTTTTACGTTGTATTTCTTTTGTCTTCCTTTTTCTGGACATCTTGTATGATTGGTGTAGATATATCTAGACCTGCTGAATTGAGTTGATTCTTTAGCTGATATCGGTAAATGGAAATCTTAGCAATACTCATTACCATCTAGAATGCTAAACTAAACTTTCACCCCTTTTGAAAATTTTGGGTGTTAAGCTTAATCAGAAGTGAACACTCATGAGATGAGAAGGTTTTGATTGAAAAAAAAGCAGACACTGGTAATCATGCTTCTATCTTATCATATTTGTTGACTTGTCATTACCATTGTCAGTCCTATGATGGTGTAAACGTCATAGTTTCAATATGTAAAATTGTTTCTTGTGTATGCACTTGTTCCCCTTTTTTTTGCACGTAGTTGAATGAATGACAGCAATTGGGTTCACTGGAAAAATAGCAAGTGAATAGCATGCTTAATATATTGCTTAGGGTTCCTAAGATGAATATGCAGAACACTGAACCATGAGAGTATGTCGTCTCTCTAATTTCACCACTGCTGCTTCTCTTACCATATCTTTCCTTGTGCAATTTAGGGGTTTGATGAGTACATGAATTTGGTTCTTGAAGATGCCGAGGAAGTCAGTATAAAGAAGAAGAGCAGAAAGCAACTGGGTGAGTGTAATCACAATAAGCTTTAGCCTCGTGACATTTCTTGGACCCCTTCACTTTCTCAAAATTTATTCTCTTTTTGTTTAGGGAGGATCCTACTGAAGGGGGACAACATCACGCTGATGATGAACACGTACGTCACAATTTTGAATTCTTTTGCCCTACATGCATTTGGAGAATTGTTATAAACAAATGAAAACACATGAAACCCTGAAAGTTGGTGCAAACATACTGATTTCGCTTCTCGTTTTTTTTTTTTTTTTTGGCTCCTTTATGCAGGGGGAAATGAGGAAGGGCTGTTAAAATTCAAGGATTTAAGTATTTTTCTGTATTTCTTTTTGGCATTTGACATGAGAAGCAGATGTAATGTGATTTTATGGACATATTTGGACAACGATCTACCTTAGCAACAAATGGGGAAGAGATAAATAGCTTTGTGTTGCTTCACTCCTTCCTGCCATTTGTTCCATGGCTTGTTTGGTTTATTGGCACTATTTTCAAATGATTTTGTGTATTACTTGCCCTAGTACAATTATTGTTGTCCATTCAGATGTGATGTTCTGTAAACTACAATTATATTTTTAAGCATAATTTCATTTTCAAAATTTCACAGTTGACCTCACGCTAGTGTAGAACATATAGTTGGCGTCAACATCATGTAGTTGAGGATTAGCTAAGGTGCAACATCATTAGTTATAGGAGGGAAGCATTTCAAAAAGCACAATACATTATGGGGAAGTACTTCATCTACTCTTTGAAAGAGATTGGCTTCCCTATCAAATGAACTAAAATACAACTTCTAGAAGCCATATACGCCACCATTTCAACCCACTGCAACCACCACCACCACCAACACTAACAAAGACTACTACTACAACAACATACGCTACTTGAGTGAACAGAAAAAAAAGTCTCCACCTGATTATAAACGGGGAATACTAAGTCCCTTGCCTTCGAATATAGCAGGGAGATGTACAATACCCTATGTAATGTCACGTTCCAGAAGCCACGGACAGGCAGAGCTGACCACTTCATTTTCATGGCAGCCAGCTTTATTCTCAAAACACACGCAGCTAACCATCAAGGATTGCAGCAGAAATAAACAAGTTTATTCCCTCCACCACCATCTCCACCAAGACAAACGTCTCACCAAATGGTATCTACAGTTTGAGAAATACAAACTCCTCAATTGCAGGCACTTCTCCTATTTCTTTAAGGGTATCCTTGTCTGGTTCTTCATCAACTCCAATTGCCATGATGGCGTTGGTGCGTTTAACAGTCCTTCCCACACTCATAAAGCTCACATTCACATTGCGCTCGCCAAGAATGCTTCCAACCTGTCCAATCATGCCGGGTTGATCCACTTGACGGCACAGTATGAGGTTTCCTTCTAGGCTCACATCCACGCTAAATGAACCCACTCTGGTCAGATGAGGGATCCCATATTTCACTCTCCCTTCAACGCTAATATTACCATTATCTGACAATGCACTTGCAAATTTTGACTCCACATTGCTTATTTGCACCTGGATTGAATCCACTGGGTACTCGGGGGATGAATCAACAACAACGCGCTCCTCAGTTATGCGAAGGCCTTTCTGCTTGGCAGTGAAATCTGCATTGACTAGGTTGATGAATGAGCTAGAAATTGGCTCAATGATGCCTTTTGTGATCATGGCTCGGAGAAGCCTTGTGTCCAAGTCATCTGGATCACGAGCTGATCTGTAAATCACCTTCACAGATTGAATTCCACTTCCTCCGGCCACTAACTGTACAGCTAGTCGACCCAGCTTCTCTGCTAGCACGACATAGGGAGCCAACTCAGATAGCACCTGAGAACAAGGCATATAAATTAGTTACCCTCTCCCATGGAGTACAGACACAACAGATTCATTCGGTATATTATGGGCATAGAATCATTTACCTCAGCAGGCACCATGGGAGCATTGACAGCAGTTGCCGAAAGTTCCCCTTTTAGCGCTCCAACTACAGCCTCAGCAATTTCAACAGCTACACCTTCCTGAAACAATAGGAATTATAGATACAGCTACATGGGTCAGAGTACAAGAGAACATACAAAGCACAGAGACGAATCAAATAAATTTTCATACAAAACTCACACCTGTGCTTCTTTTGTGCTAGCTCCAAGATGAGGTGTGACAGTGACATTCTCATGCTGCACTAACTTGCTATCCTTNTTCCCCCCCCCCCCCCCCCCCCGGTCGGGGAAGCAGTGGCACACTTAGAGATCCCATGGATTTCAAACCAGTATCATGTGTTCTCAAAAAGATTGCAGTCATTATTCACTGAAAATCCTCCATGGCATCATTCCTAATCATGGATTTTTCACCTGAAAAAGCTGTAATAAAGCACTCTGTTTATTGAAGTTCTAGGGGATGCCCAAGCACAATGTTACTTCATCAAATGATTATCCCTAAATTTCTTCTCATTTCAGAGTAGGAAAATTGACAGGACATGAAAATGTTGACACGAAATGTCAGCATCACTTGCATTGACAAGAGAAGCATACCTGTGCAACTATTCCACTATCAAGGGCCCTCACTAATGCATCTTCGTCAATAACACCACCCCTTGCAACATTGATTAAGCGCACTCCCTTTTTCATCTTTGCAAAATTTCCTTCATTGAATATTTTGTTAGTAGTAGGAGTAAGAGGCATATGGAGTGAAACAAAATCTGCAGTGGAGATGGCCTCATCAAAGGAGACCAAATCCACACCAACAGCACGGGCTCTATCAGCTGGGGCATATGGGTCATGTGCAATAACATGCATTCCAAGGCCTTTAGCACGTCTGGCAACTTCAGATCCAACTTTTCCAAATCCCATGACTGCTAATGTCTTTCCAACCAGTGAGACACCGACATACTTGTTCCGTTGCCATTTTCCTGCATAAAAAAAATCACCATGTAAAACCATAAATTTGATACCTTGATCTAAAATATATCAAATGATTAGGCTTAATCTCAACCATTCAGCAATAGAAAAATATCAAGGCAAAGTAATATATATTTTACTTTAGCCACATAACTTTGAATTCAACAGCATAATATCTATACAACCAACATTACATCCCATGATGGATCTATTGCGGAACAATTGCCTCTTAAATTATGGAAATTACATCTTATTATATTATTGTCGTCTATGAAATAGTCTCAAACCACATTGGCTCACCCTTAGATTTGATCATGAATTTAAATTACCATCCCAAGGCTAAACTTCTGGATCCATGAATACATCGACCAAAATGAACATGCGCACCAATTTCGAGGATGACCATGAGAAATTGGGTCTTAGTTTGCGGAGGATGAGTACTATACAAAAGCAATACTTTGAAGAATGTTGTTTTTGGTTTGAAACTGAAGCCAATGGTCTCACTTGTTTGGAAAGGAACTCAGATAGCTAATTACCAACCAAAGTGTACAATTAAAAAACACCCCCAAATGACAAATAATAGCCTCAAGTACGATCACCTAGAAATACAGACGCGGAAATTCAAGTTTACAGATATGCAAAATGACCGATGAACATAGAGAAATGCAATTATATGACACAATTTCCATACTAAACATAATTCATAGCTAGATCTGTCATCATACTAGAACAATAATTTCATATGAATAAAAGAAAATAAATGATTAAGAGAAATCATATACTCAACCAGATTTCATGGAGGCATCGGCCTGGGAAACATTACGAGCCATGGCAGCCATCAAAGCAATGCCATGTTCAGCGGCAGCAATAGTATTCGCAGTGGGAGCATTAACAACGAGACAACCAAACTCCGTCGCGGCCTGCAGATCCACATTGTCAATCCCAACACCGGCTCTTCCCACCACCTTCAATCTTCCCTTGGCGGCCTCGAACACCTGACGAGTTACCTTCGTCCCACTCCTCACAATCAACGCATCACACAACGAGATCTTTGAACACAGCTCCTCCGAAGACAAATTGTACGAACAATCAACATTCCCGAAGCTACGGAGCAGGTCGAGACCAGCCTCTCCTAGTTTCTCGGACACGAGGATCGTAGGCTTGGAGGTTGATATTACAGATTCGAGATCTCGAGTTTTGGACCTCGATATGTCGATCGATTCCACAGTCTTGAGGACATTGGTGGTGATGAAAGTGGCCTTTTCAGAATGGGAATGGGAAATGGAAATGGATTGGGCGAGCTTGAAGGAAGTGGATATGGAGGAATTGAGGAAAGAGAGATTGGATAATTTGTCGGTGGAAGATGAAGAGGGAGGTGTGAGAACGATGGATTTTGGTGTTGTTGCAGAACAAGTGGAGGCCATGTTTTTCTTGTGTTCTCTTCTTCTCTGTGTATGTAGGAGAGAGAGAGGGAGGGAGAGAGAGAGAGTTTTGGTGGGATCTCAAAAGTTTTCGGGGGAACTATTAATAAACAGTTTGAATTCCCAATTTGGGAGTAGGTACCGGAAAATTATTGTGGTTATATTGGTTTTACTTTTATACCCTTCGTTTTGGAGTAAACTACATAAATTGGGCTCGAACTCTACCACTTATTTCAATTAAGTCCTTAAACTAAATTTTATGTCAATTAAGCCCCTCAACTTTGTAATTCGATTCCGTGTGAACTTTCCATTCAATTCGGTGGAATTAATATCGGAACCAAGGGCACAAATGAAAAATCATATTTGGCAAGGAAGAAAAATAAAAATAATGAAAAAGTTGATAGATTAGCTTTTCTTCGAATTCATCAAAATCAAATCCTCCAAAATTTGAAGAAAAAGTTAATGAAAAGTTAATAATGTGTGTTTAAATGTATGTTATTTGTTTATATATCTTTTGATATATACATATATCATATTTATTAAATACACATTATGTATACACTAATTTCATAAATAGATATAATGGTAAAATATTTATTTATACTTTTTTTCAAAAAAAATTAAAAAATAATTTTTTCATCTTACTAAATACAAAAAAAAATAAAAAATCAATCCTTCATATTTTTCTATCTCTCTCATCAAACTCAAATGAGAGAAGTAAAAATTCCTCCCCTAAATGATATAAAAGTTTCATAAATAGATATAATAGTAAAATATGTATTTGTATTTTTTTTTAAAAAAAATTACTTTTTTCATCTTACCAAACACAAAAATAAAAAATAAAAAAATTCAATTCTTCATATTTTTTTATCTCTCTTACCAAACATAAATAAAGTAAGTAAGGATTCCTCCCTTAAATAATAGAAAAATGTATAACTTCCACTTTTTACTTTTCGATTATCCTATCAAACGGACCATTATTCTTTCTACGAGTAAGACTATCCATACACCCAAACACTAATGTTCTCCTTCATATATCTCTCCCCTTGAAAAGATAAGACCAAATGACCAATGATGTTTTTCTTTCCTTTTGAACCCTCTAATCATCTCCCTCCCACCATTAGAAACTTACACTTGACACACCATGATTCCTTAAATAAGCTTGAATTCTTCCACATCAATCTTCCATGTGATGTCATCCTTTCACGACTCTGTACCAACTCAACATTTTGCTGCACGTGTTGGTGGGAGAGAAGAAGATTGGTGTTTGGATGTAGGGATCGACTTTCTCAATGTCATGAATTTTCATTTGTGTCCTTGGTTCCGTTATCAATTTTAATAGAATTGGACGGGAGGTTTACATTGAATCAAATTACAAAATTGAGGGGCTTAACTGATATAAAATTTAGTTTAAGGGTTTAATTAAAATAAGTAACATAGTTTTAAGGACAATTTATGTAGTTTATTACTTCGTTTTGCCTAATAGTAGGTTTTACCAACCTAGTCTACGGTTTTTTTTTTTATTGTATTATTTAAATGTTTTTTTGAAAATTAGTTGGATTAATTAAACTAAAAGTCTCCAAAGTATGTGACTTATTTCATTTTGGTCTCCAATAATTCAATTGCATCATTTTGATAAGTATTGAATATTTATATAATAAAATAGTTTACAATTCAAATCTCAAAAGATAAACAAAATGACTTTTCTATTCGCGGTTGAGATCGTTTTAAATTTTACTTTAAAGTTAATTTAACGACTAATATTAACATCCTAAATTTAATAGAAAAAATAGGCTCCTAAAAGTGTGTTTAGAGTAACTTTTTAAAAGTACTTTTAGAAATTATTTATCATAAATACTTTAAAAAAAATAGTGTTTAAAACTGTCTCAGCACTACCTTTACCACCACCGTCACTATTGTCGTCGTCGCCGCCACCACCACCTCCACTGCCACCGCCCTCACTGTCACCCTCGTCGCTACCACCCCCACCACCGTCACCGCCCCCCATTACTGCCACTGCCACCACCATCACCGCCGTCGTCACCACCACCACCACAATCGCAGTCTTCGCCGCCACCATCATCGTCGTTGCCGTCACCACTGCCACAAACCCCACCGCCACCGCCACCGCCACCATCCCTACCACCGTTGTCACCATTCTCACCACCATTCACACCTCCACCAATACAGTCATTGCCACCCACCACAACCATTGTCGTCTTCCTACCACCACCATTGTCGCCCACCACCTTTCACCCTCTACTACAAATCGATACTTAAAATTTTTTATCTCTTCTCTATGTTTGTAAATTGATTTAGAAATGAATACAAATATTTTTATTGTTTACCATTTTTTATTACTTTGTGCATTCAGACACAAGAAATAATTAGTATTTCTATATAGGGTTAATCTCATTTTGCNTTTTTTTTTTTTTTTTGGCTCCTTTATGCAGGGGGAAATGAGGAAGGGCTGTTAAAATTCAAGGATTTAAGTATTTTTCTGTATTTCTTTTTGGCATTTGACATGAGAAGCAGATGTAATGTGATTTTATGGACATATTTGGACAACGATCTACCTTAGCAACAAATGGGGAAGAGATAAATAGCTTTGTGTTGCTTCACTCCTTCCTGCCATTTGTTCCATGGCTTGTTTGGTTTATTGGCACTATTTTCAAATGATTTTGTGTATTACTTGCCCTAGTACAATTATTGTTGTCCATTCAGATGTGATGTTCTGTAAACTACAATTATATTTTTAAGCATAATTTCATTTTCAAAATTTCACAGTTGACCTCACGCTAGTGTAGAACATATAGTTGGCGTCAACATCATGTAGTTGAGGATTAGCTAAGGTGCAACATCATTAGTTATAGGAGGGAAGCATTTCAAAAAGCACAATACATTATGGGGAAGTACTTCATCTACTCTTTGAAAGAGATTGGCTTCCCTATCAAATGAACTAAAATACAACTTCTAGAAGCCATATACGCCACCATTTCAACCCACTGCAACCACCACCACCACCAACACTAACAAAGACTACTACTACAACAACATACGCTACTTGAGTGAACAGAAAAAAAAGTCTCCACCTGATTATAAACGGGGAATACTAAGTCCCTTGCCTTCGAATATAGCAGGGAGATGTACAATACCCTATGTAATGTCACGTTCCAGAAGCCACGGACAGGCAGAGCTGACCACTTCATTTTCATGGCAGCCAGCTTTATTCTCAAAACACACGCAGCTAACCATCAAGGATTGCAGCAGAAATAAACAAGTTTATTCCCTCCACCACCATCTCCACCAAGACAAACGTCTCACCAAATGGTATCTACAGTTTGAGAAATACAAACTCCTCAATTGCAGGCACTTCTCCTATTTCTTTAAGGGTATCCTTGTCTGGTTCTTCATCAACTCCAATTGCCATGATGGCGTTGGTGCGTTTAACAGTCCTTCCCACACTCATAAAGCTCACATTCACATTGCGCTCGCCAAGAATGCTTCCAACCTGTCCAATCATGCCGGGTTGATCCACTTGACGGCACAGTATGAGGTTTCCTTCTAGGCTCACATCCACGCTAAATGAACCCACTCTGGTCAGATGAGGGATCCCATATTTCACTCTCCCTTCAACGCTAATATTACCATTATCTGACAATGCACTTGCAAATTTTGACTCCACATTGCTTATTTGCACCTGGATTGAATCCACTGGGTACTCGGGGGATGAATCAACAACAACGCGCTCCTCAGTTATGCGAAGGCCTTTCTGCTTGGCAGTGAAATCTGCATTGACTAGGTTGATGAATGAGCTAGAAATTGGCTCAATGATGCCTTTTGTGATCATGGCTCGGAGAAGCCTTGTGTCCAAGTCATCTGGATCACGAGCTGATCTGTAAATCACCTTCACAGATTGAATTCCACTTCCTCCGGCCACTAACTGTACAGCTAGTCGACCCAGCTTCTCTGCTAGCACGACATAGGGAGCCAACTCAGATAGCACCTGAGAACAAGGCATATAAATTAGTTACCCTCTCCCATGGAGTACAGACACAACAGATTCATTCGGTATATTATGGGCATAGAATCATTTACCTCAGCAGGCACCATGGGAGCATTGACAGCAGTTGCCGAAAGTTCCCCTTTTAGCGCTCCAACTACAGCCTCAGCAATTTCAACAGCTACACCTTCCTGAAACAATAGGAATTATAGATACAGCTACATGGGTCAGAGTACAAGAGAACATACAAAGCACAGAGACGAATCAAATAAATTTTCATACAAAACTCACACCTGTGCTTCTTTTGTGCTAGCTCCAAGATGAGGTGTGACAGTGACATTCTCATGCTGCACTAACTTGCTATCCTTGGGTGGTGGCTCCTCTGTGAACACATCAAGTGCTGCCTATTACACACCAGTCCAAAAGAGAATTCAGTTATTTACGTTCCAGTACACCACCAGCAAAATTCAAAAGAATGACCATAAAGATTATGAATAGGGTAAACAGGTTATCTTTGCCGTCCTATTTTATAAAGGAGGTTACAACCCACTCTATTTTCTTTTTTTGTAAATCTGGGTTGCCAGCCATTGTTTACATTAAATTTTCCTCCCCCCCCCCCCCCCCC